TCCTGTTTTTGTTTGTTTAATTTTTTATTTTTGTTTTCCTTTTTCTTCAGGTATTTCTTGAATTTAAGAACCCTAACTTGGTCACTTCATATATTCAAGGACTAACAAATTCCATATCATTGTCTTGATTCTCCCATGGCAGGGACAGAATTTGTCAGGGGTGTCTGGACAAGGAAGGAGGAGGACTCTGAAGTTATGAGTAGTCATGATCTGAACACCTGTTCAGTGTTTAATGTTTTAATTGAAGCTCTAAATGATTCATTGACTTTTAACTGGATCAAGGTACGTTGTCTCTTGGGCCAATACAAAGACTCTCAAGAAATTTATTTGGTGTGGATTCTGACTGAGCYGAAGAGAAAGAAGGATTAGAAAAAGAGGGCATTTAAACTTGACTAGAGGCAGAAGCTCCCAGCCTGAGATCTTTCTCTGACCCCTAAGAAAAGTATCCTTTGTGGTAAGTGTCGAAGACTTTGGGGCTGACAGGGACATTCTAGACCATTCAGTCCCACATTGTCTAGACAAAGGAATTCACATTTTGGGAGGTGAAATCATAGCGTAAACTGGGGTTGGGTTTGCTCTGAATCCCTGTCCCAGGGCTTATTTCCCTTGTTGGCAGCCACATGGTTGAATTTACTGGCTCTTCCAGGTTTCAGAGTTTGGTGAGAAAGTCAGACAATATTTTGGATTTGGAAAATAGTTGCTGATGGAAACTTGCAAGGCCTTGCAAGAAGTCAGCAAAGAATTGGAGCAGTTTCTAGCAACTCTAGTCCTCTTGCTTACTTCCTAGGTGTGGGGACTGGCAGCAGGGTTTGCATTGAAATGGGAGTGTTAGTGTAAGCACTTCCCACCCCTCTTCAATTTTCCAGAGCCCTTGAAAACAGGTTAACCACTAAAAGGTTGGCAAAATTACTTCTGTCTCTTTCCTCTGCATGACCCAGTCAGCTGGAACTGGATTGTATTTACCTAGAAGGATTTCAGTCAAATACCCAGAAGAGAGTGTGAGGAGGAGATCAGTTCAGAAATCAGGTCTGGACTTTCCCCAGGGATGATAATAATTTGTCTTATCTGGCAATTTGTTCTGGGCAGGGAGAGCAATAGCATGCCTTGCTGTTTCTGACAGAGGCAGAAGAGTCTGGACACCATTCTCTGAGTGAAGGCAGAGAAGAAAATAGTTGTGTTTTTCAGCTACTAGTGGGCATGACTAGTTGAACTCATGCTTAGAGAACTTCCCAAGTTTCAGGAACTGTTCAAGGTCTGGCAGCCCACTCATAAATAAGATGTGATCCCTGCATGCAAAGAACTGTAGACAGACAGAAGACTGAAAATTTTAACAGAAAGTGGGCAGTGATAAGCCCTGGAAGTTACAGAGTACAGAAGAGGAATGTGCAATCTCCTGGGGTTCAGGAAGTTTTCATAGATGACACCCAAACAAAGAAGTAGGCCAAGAAAGAAAGCCACAAGCCTCACAGGGGAAAGAACCACATGAACAAAGGTGTGGAATCTGGGTGTGGGGAAACACAGGCGGGTGGCCGTGGTGTTACTAGAGCAGGAAGGGTGGGATGGGAAGTGTGGGGAGTTAAGGCAGTGAGGCAGGTGCATGCCGGGGCAGGGAGTAAGTTGTGGGAAAAAGCATAGACTTTATTATAACCAGGAAAGAGGAAACTTCCCAAGGAGGTCCATATTTTCAATAGATTGCTGCAGTGTAGACTTGGGGTGGAGGAGACAAGCATGGAGTCAGGGAACAATGTGTAAGAGATGATGGGTGCCTGATGCAAGGTGTTCTTAATGAGACTAAAAGGCAAGGATGGGAAAAACAGCCACGGAGTGGATGCTGGCAGAAACTTGGTGGGTAAGAGAGAGAGAAAAATCCAGGGAGGCTCTCAGGTTTCTGGCTTGTGCACGGGTGAATCATGGCACCGTAAACTCAGATAAGAAATACAGGAAAGGGAGAGTGATGTTGATGATGGCTAGCAGTTATTAATCACTTATATGGACCAGGCATTGTGCCAAGGGTTTTCATGCATTTTTTTCTTAACTCTATGAAGTAGACATGAATAATGAGGATGAGGAAAATGAAACTTTGAGATGTTGAATTAGCTCGGCCAGATCCACACAACTGGTGAGTAGTGGGAAATGTTTAGAATCAAGGCAGCCTGACTGCACCAACAATGCCGTTAAGCACCAGGCATGCRTGTAGGGGAAGAGTCCGCAGAGCCTGGTGGGACCCGCAGTGGAGCGGTCTGGGCACAAGAGCATCCCTAGGGTCCAGATTATGACAAAAACCAGAAATGTGGGTGAACTTCTGAACAGTGACCAAAGTGCAGTGCACGGGGAACCCTGAAATTGAAGTAGACAGACGGTAAGGGGCACAAATGAGACCAAAACAGGCCTCTCTGAATTTTAAAACCAATCTGCTATCTGGGCAACAGAAAACTGGGCAATCACAAAGAGCCACATCAAATAGAAATGTCCAAGGTAAACTGACATATCACTTATATAGTTACTATGTTGCATAGTATTAATCCTAGTCAGGGAGCATTTTACTTAAATAGTAATAATACTATGGCACAGTTTCCCAAATTGTATCTTGTGGATAGTAGTACCTGGAGATGTTAATGTTTGGGTAAAACATGGTTTTGGAATCAGATAAGTTTAATAAATGCAGGAATGATTTAGATAAAGAGCCAAATCCCTGGTTTTCACTTTTCTATTTGTCAGAGGTGGTACAGTGTCATGACTAAGGTTGTAAGCACTGGAAACAAGACATCTTGGGTGTGAATCCTCCACTGAGTCCTAACTGATGTTAGTTTCACTTCAGATGATAGTTTCACTCTATTGCACTGATTTTGAATCACTTAGAATACAGCCTGGCAAAGAGTGAGCTTCCTTAAAGGTTAATTAATATCATCTATAAACCACACTATTATTAACAAATCTCCCTGATATTCTATATAGAGTTTACTTCTCTATATACATACACTGAGAGTCACGTTTCTGAAAAGTCAAGTCTTGGCTCTGACTCCTGTTAGCTGAATTTCTTTGTTCCCTGACTTCTATCCCACTACAAGCCTTACTGGGCATAACTGAGCTCTTTCCCTGCTCTACTCCAGAGAAGGAGAATAGGGAAGAGGAGGATTTATGCCCTGGCAGCCTGGCATCTGAAGGACAATTGCTGGCTCATAATCACCTTTGTGAATACTTGAAAAAAGTCATCTTCTGGATGGACAACGGCCTGTACCAGAGCATACAGTTTAGCAAGTGGAATGTAGGCTGCATCTTAGTCCTCACTTGCTTCCTTGGTTGAATGCCCTTGTGTAGTGAACAGACTGCATAACCATACACAGCAGTTTTGACCTTCAAGACTTGGAAAAGGCTGGAAGCTAAGGACTACTGGGGAAAGAGGGTACTAGCCCTTTCTCCAAGCAGCCCATAAGATTTGTTCTGCAAAAGCCTACTTAGTATATAAATCATCCTTCCTCCTCTCCTCCCTTCCCTGGTATGCCCCGCCCCCCATTCATTAACACAGAAGCTGACATCAGAATACCCTTCCTGTGAGGGGAGACCACTCACTGGCTTTGCCTGGAATCCCTGATTGAAAGTAGGAGAAGACAGAGCTATAGAAAGCAGAGGCAGGAGGGGATGATCTTCCAGGTTTCCCTTGACCCATAATGAACCCATAATTTACAATGTTCCCAATCAAAGCAGGCCAGGGCCAGAGCAAGTCTGACTTCCTGACAGTGGCTTGGAGCAGGAAGAGAAAAAGATGGGCATGAGAGCTATCCTTGGGAGCTTCCTAATCTCCACTGTCGTCTGGCCAAAATGCCTGGCTCCCAATAAAGACTATCATCCCTTTAGGTTTCCTGTATGAAATGGTCTGGAAAGGAAAAAGCAGACATTTCCTGGGAGTCTTTTCTGGGGGTGAGTGGGGTACAGTAGAGGGCAGAAACACTACCAATATGCATGAACAGCACAAACACGCACACATCTAGGCAGAGGGGCTTCTGCCTAGATGCACCACTTTTCGGTCTACTAGCCAAACTTAGCCTAACTAGCACGGATATGGCAAGGGCTCTACCCTTTCGGAACCTTCTCTAGAAAGTGAAGAATATGGATAGGCTGATAAATTTTAAGACTCCTCAACTGACAGGCTTTGGTTTACACCTCTAGGAGTCTCTCTGTTCAATTCCCCTCTAGTCCTGTCTAAATGGAGGGGGGGGGGGCAAGCCGACAGGAGCACATGGTTTCCTCTTACCTCTATCCCCAAAGAAACCCAAGGCCATAAACCTGCAAGGACAGCATAGGCCTGTGTACCCAAGACAAAGCGGCCCATTCACAATTTTGCTTAGGGTCTGCCTCCGGGCTGAGGCCCCAGCTGGGGAGTTAGGTCTGAAGGCCTTCAGGCTCAAGAACAAAGACTGAGCTGGAGAAGGGAAAGACCTTTTCAGAATGTGAGGAGAGGGAAGCCCCCGCCTGCTTATGCCTTTACTTTTCATAAGGCTGGCTGTTCCTCTCTTTCCCACAGGTTTGGAGGGTTTAGGGGGCGGGGGTGTCCTGTCTTTTTCTTTGAGGCTGGTGCCTTCACCTCCTCCCCTGTCTCTCCTAAGGTTGAGATCTGTGCTCCTTCCCATCTGCTCTCTGGGTCTGAAATCTCCATCCTCCTCTTCCTTTTTTTCTTCTTGGGATTGGGGTCTCCACGCCCCTCCCTTTTCTCCTTTCTTGGGCCTGGCCTCTCCAGCCCCAGCAGAGGGGTCTGCATTCTTTTTTTCCCCTCTTCCTAAGGCCACAGTTCCCTGCCCCCACTCTCCCCAACTCCCCCTCCCTCCACCCCGAGGCATTGTGGGAGGAAACAAGATGTGGGGCGAGAGCGGCGCGGGGAGAAGCCCGCAGTGCGGGGCCGGGCGGTCGCAGCCAATAGGGATCGCGGACAGCAGCGCGCGCGGCGGGGGGGCGGGGGCGGGGCGCTATTTCAGCGGGGGCCGCGCGTCGGCCTCGCTCAGCGGCAGAGCGAAGCGGAGCGGCGAGGCCCCAGCACGTAGCAGGCGGGCGGGCCGGCGGCGCGAGGCGGAGCGCGGGCGGCCGGGGAAGCTCTAAAGGCGGACGGCGGCGCGAGAGCTCGGCCCCGGGCTGCGGGAGCCGGACATCGCGGCGGCGGCGGCTGCTGCAGGAGGAGCCCAGGGGACATCGCCCGTGCCCGCGCTCTGCCTCAGCCCATCGCTGCTCCCCCGGGGCCCGTGAGGACTCGCCTCGGTGAAGGTGAGGGGTGGGTGGGACCCTGGGCGCCTCGCCCGCGACCGTCGCGTGCGTGTTTTAGCACGCCAACCTTGGCCGCCAAGGCCCTGCGGCCTCCTCGCCCTAGGCCTCCTCGCCCTAAGCCTGACCCCAAGGCCTGAAGCGCCGTGGCCCCGCCGCCTTCGGTGTACGGCTCAGCAACTCCGCTCACCCCCGGCGCCCTTCCCGGTCTGCGCAGCGCCGGCTTCGCCACTCTGTGCCCTGGCGACCCTCGTGGCACCACTGGAGGCCCCAGGCTGCGGCGTTGCCTCTCCCACACCCCCCGGGAGTGTCCCTGCGCTGCGTTGAGGCCTCTGGTGTCTGGGGCCAGGGAGAGGGGGTGGAGAGGGCTTCGGCGTGACGCGGCTCCTCCTGCCGCCGCCACCCTCTGGGGCGTCCTTCCTGCAGCGAGGACGCCCAGTCACTCCGGCGCTGCTCCAGGCCGGGCGGGGGAGGGCGGCTGACCGGCCGAGGCCTACAGACCTGGCTCGGCCGCGAGGGCCGGAGGTGAGTAGAACCAGTGCCTTCTCATTCCCAGGTGCTGCCCCTCGGGGCCCCGCTCTCTGGGAAACCGGATGGTGGAAGGTACAGCCCTCTTGGAAGATTCGAAGGAAGGAAATTGCGTTTTATGTGTGTTGGCGAGTGGGGAAGGGAAAAGCAATCCATGTTGATCGGACTTAGCTTTTTTTGTTTGTTTTTGGTTGTAAAACCAGGGATAGGATGGGAGCTGTCCAGGAGTGCCCCCTTCCTTTGCAAAGGAGCCCTCGATTCATGACTGAGGCTGGTGGTTTTGGGGCCTCTGGCCATCCCTTTCTCTGGAGGCCCAGGTCTTTCTCTTTTTTCCTTCAGGAGAGAGTAGGCTGGGCATCTCCCTATCCTTTTCTCACTGGCACCTTGGACAGGGTTAGTTGGGGCTGGGCCTTACCTCTCAGTTGCCTGAGGGGCCAGGGGTGAAGAATCGTGGCATTATAGTCACAAGATTAACATTATGTAACCGCAGGCTCTCTCCTGGGGAGTAAAGTGGCTTTTAATTACTGACAGAGTTGTTCCTTTGGACTTTGGGGATGAGGTAGTGGAGCTGGTGAGCTTGCTGGCAAAATGGTGCCAGTTTCATACTTGATCTTCTAGGGCTCTTAGCAGGCCCCACCCCCACCTCTGGATTTGTAAACAGTGCCCCCTTCTGAGTGGTAACCTGGAATAGGCCACCAGGTGACACTATATTTCTTGTAAGAAAAGCCTTCTAATATCAGAACCTTCTCCCAGTGCTGCTCTCATACTTTTGCTCAAAACCCATTGAGGTTACCCTATTTATCTCATTTTAGTCATTGGCTTTTGAATTGAAAATGTTTGTCTGCTCAAGGTCACTTGGCTAGTCAGGTCTTGAACAGGGTTTTCCTGACCTTTTCTTCAGTCTATGGTGCTCACAGACTTCTTAAGACTCTGACTTTCTCTCTCAAGTGTGGGGGTAGAAGGGGTGATTTACTAACTCTTTGCTCTGCCAGTGTCTGCTGAGGTAGAACCAGCCCTGCTTAGTTTGACTGGCCTAGTCTGAGACTGCCACCCAAGTGCCAGACAAGTGTGCCTTGGATGAGGTCAGGGGCTAAAGGGCTTCTTGGCTGGCAGCTGGCATACATGCATTCTGTGCATTCTGTAGGCTGAATAATGGTTGACAGTTCTGTTTTCCCTTTCAGCCCATCCAGCCTACGGACTAGTGTGGACTCAGATCATAGTGGCCTGTAATGATAACGCAGGGATCTCTTCTTCAGCAGGCAAGCAGGCTGCTTTTGTAGCCTTGTATCATACAGGCCCAGACTGACAGCATTTTTGTTCATTTGATTGGGCCAGAGACACTTTTAAGGGTGGGATGAGGGAAATTGTTTCTGTTCTGTGTGATGGGACTGTGGTCAAGGAGGGCAGAATTTTGCAGCTCATCCCTCCCTGTTCCTGCAAAGAACCTGGCATGCTATAAACTGCCATGCAAGTCCTGGCCAGCCCTCTTGGGATTTCTCTCATTCTGTGAAGGGTCTATGCAATGTCTGTCCTGAACTCTGGTAGCTACATGATGAATGTTATGGCCCAGTTAGCAGGGATATGAAACATGTCTGTTAAAATAACAACAGGTCTTCACCTTTCTTAGGTATTTTTGTTTTTTCCAGTCCTCTATCTCCAGGTTTTTCCCAATCCTATGTTTTAAATAGGGGAAAAGTCTCAGGGAGAGAATATCTTCTCTTCCTTAGAGAATACTGAGAATACACAATACCTTTTACTTCACCTAGTAGGTAATATTTTTTGCATAAGTGAATAAATTTTACATAAGCAAGCAAAAATCCAAGGAAATGATGAATTATTTTAGAACTGGGTCTAAAATTTAAGGCTTTCAAAAATTGATTTTTAAAAGAAAAATAACAAACCAGAAGAAAAAAAATTGAGCTTTAAAAATTGAACATTATAGGGGAAAAGCAGAGAGAAGGATGGAATGAGTTGACTAGCCTAATCTGAGACTGCCACCCAGCTTCTCTACCTCTTGGTAGGGGGCATGTCAGCCCTAAGTACTTAAAAGGTTATTGTTGTCTCTACCTCACTGGGCATTGGTGACCTATAATGTACTCTACTTCTTTTCATTTGTATAGAACAGGGGTTGGTATATATATATWTTTTTTTGGTGAAGGGTCAGATAATAAATTTTAAGTCTTGCAGACCATACAGTCACTCAGAACTATTCAATTCTGCCATTGTAAGCRTGTTCCTGTATCACTTATTATACAAAAACAGGTGGTAACTGAATGGATAGCCCCCTGTATAGACTCCTGTTTTCAGATGCTCTTAATAAAACCTTAGTTAATTCTAATAACAGTTCCCACTATAGAGAGCTAACTTAATTGTTGAAATAGAAGTAATGATACAGAAAAGCTTGTCTAAGAATACAAGGGTTTAAAGTCAGGACTGTTGGTTTCTAGTCCATCTTTTTCCTTACTGTTTCCCCTGCCCATGCTGGGGATTAAACTCGGGACCTTACATGCTAGGCAAAGGCTATACCCCACTGAGCCATATCCCCAGCCCTAGCCCCTCTTCTTTCTGCTATGATACTAATGATGTAATAATGGTCATTAGATCAAGATCTTATCCAGTGTTATGCCATCTGGCTTATCCTCAGGATTACCTGCAGTTCCCATTTTACAAAAAATGACAACACAAAGATAAAGTAGCTTGCCAAGACACAGCTAAGTGATGTCAGTTTGGTTGTCAGTACTGTATAGAATACTAGAAATAKATGGCTGTTAGAATTAGAAAAACCTCATTTTATATAAGATAAAAATCATGGGTTGGGACTATGTTTCTGCTGTGTTTTCTGTATTCCCACTTTTGTACTTCTTTCTCACTGAAGCCCTCTACCCAGAAGCTCATGGTCATTGTTCACAGCATGGAGTTAACACCCTTACCTTTGCTGCTTCTTCTGCAGTGTCACGATGTCTGACCGGAAGGCAGTGATCAAGAACGCAGACATGTCTGAGGACATGCAACAAGATGCCGTCGACTGTGCCACACAGGCCATGGAGAAGTACAACATAGAGAAGGACATTGCTGCCTATATCAAGAAGGTATGCCAGGAGAGCCAAGGGTCTGAAATGGCAACTGAGCTGGGCTCTACAGAGGGCTAGAGTTGAGGACATAGGAAAATAAGGATATTCAAAGCAAACAAAACCTAGGAACTTGTGAAGCAGACAAATTAGGGAGGGAATTGAATTGACAAAGCATTCACCTTAGGAAGGTTTTTTGTTTTATAAGTTCTTAGGGCCTCATTGTTTCCCAGGCTGCCCTTGAACTTGGGATCTTTTTGCCTTGGCCTCTTTAGTCTCTGGGATTATAGGCATGCACCACTGTGCCTGACTCTTGTTTTAATTAATTAATTTWTTTATTTTAAATATTTTTTTTTAGTTATAATTGGACACAATACCTTTATTTTATGTGGTGCTGAGGATCAAACCCAGTGTCTGGCTCATGCTAGGCGAGCACTCTACTGCTGAGCCACAATCCCAGCCCTTGTATTATTTTTGAGATCAGGTTTTGCTACATATCTGAGCTGGCCTTGAACTTGAGGTCCTTCTGCCTCAGCTTCCCAAGTAGCTGGGATTATAGGCAGCAGCCACCACCATACCCAGCTCACACTAGGGAGTTCTTAACAGAAGCTCTACTAGGCATGTGTATTTACATTTAGAGATAATTAGGTGACTAAGACATTGGGGAAGAATAAAACTATACAGAGAAGCTTCAGAATTAAGCATTACTGCCTTAATTTAGAACTATTCAAAATTAAGATTAAGGATATTTGAATGAATGATCATGAATAAATGTTCAGATCTCTTCATCACTTAGAGTGGGTATTATAAAGCCAGACATGGTGGCACAAACCTGTAATCCCAGTGACTGAGGCAGGAGGATTAGAACTTTGAGGCCTAGCCTCAGTATATTAATGAGGTCCTAAGCAATCTAGCAGAGACCCTTCTCAAAATGAAAAACAAAGGGCTGCAGATGTGGCTCAGTGGCTAAACACCCTGGGTTCAGTCCCTGGCACACACACACATAAAAAAGTGGGTATTATAATCTCACAATGTAGGGAGTTTTCTTTCTCTCTTTTACTTATTTTTATGTGTGCTGGGGATTGAACCCAGGTCCTCACATGTGCAAGGCAAGTGCTCTACCACTGAGCTACAGCCCCAGCCCCATCCTCTAATAAGAATGGGCTTGATATGTAGTCATCCCTTAGTTTTGGTAGGAAATTTTATCCAGGACCCCTGTCAGATATCAAAATCCACACTTCATATAAAATGGCATAGTATTTGTGTATAACGTACACGTATCTTAAATCATCTCTAGGTTACTTTAATAGCTAATATACAAGTATGCTATGTAAGTAGTTGTTCTTACTATATTGTTTAGTAGGAGATAATGACAAGAACAAAAACGTATACATGTTCAGGACAGATGTAATTTTTTTTTCTCTGAGTATTTTCCATCTGTGGTTTGTTGAATCCATGGATGCAGAATCCACAAATATGGAGGGATGACTGTATAATTTCTTAAATGGATGATTAGTATTGGAGTGATAGGTTTGGTCCCTGAAAACTTCTTAAATGAATGGGTGAAGGATATGGTTAACTCTGTGAGGAGGCACCTGCATTAAAAATAAGAAATGGCTAACTGGGTTCCCTGATTCCCAGCCAGAACATGTGTCCAGTGAAGGCATAGTCCTAATCTTTGATAATCTTAGCTCTGGCATCCCAAGAAAGTGGTAGCAGTCTGGTTCCTAACAGTAGGGTATGGTCGGTTGGTAGGGTTTCCTTGAATTTTACAGAATCTATGGATTTCCTACTGATTTGGGTGGGATGAGAAGAGGAAACTCTGGATTGTGTGTATGGATCCTGAATGGGTGCAGAACAAGATGGGGTTGCTGGTTCCTCGCTAACTAATGGCCTTTCCAGGGAGGGAAAACAGAATCCTAGAACTTTGTATCCAAAGTAATCCTTAGATTACCTGATCCAGCTTTCTTGTTTTGCTGATGATAAAAATGAGACCCAGAGAAGTAACTGACTTTCCCATATTACAGAGTTCAGGATTGAAGCTGGGTTTGATTTTCTCTTTTCCTTAGTACTTCTTGGAAAGTACCAAATCTATTCCCCAATGCTGATCATCCATTTAAAAAAATTGTAGTCAGTCTTCCGTATCTTTGGGTTCTCTCTGTATTTAGTACTTCCTGTATGGTATGGAGGCTGTGAAGAAGCCAAATGGGTTATTTGTTGAGCACCCTGTGTGATGAAGATCCCCAAGGTTAGCAGCGTTGATCCTTTCATGATAGAAGGCTACTGCCCTTTCACAGCCATGTCAGGATACATCTAGGCAGACAGCCGCAGGTTAGAGGGCTGCTTCTGATTAGCTTAGGGATTTCCTGGGTGGTTTTGTGCTCCTTGATAGAAATGAGGAAATCACCTTGATCTAATGGCTGAGGTCTTTGTTTTGGTGTACAAGCCTGCACGGTTGCTTAGCATACAGGATTGCCTTTAATGTTGATTTTTATAAAACTGCTTCCTAGTACTCCTGACCTTCAGTCCGCATTTGCTCTAATATTTTGGTTTATGGCATTTGGAAAGCTGGTTTAGTAACATGTGAGGCAGTGGGCAGCAATCTTCATTTTCCATGCTGTATTTCACTGGAGTGGTCCTTCATTCCACTAGCCTCTGATCATTTTATTGAAGAATCATAGGGTGGGCTTGGAGTGGTGTGAATGGTGTAGAATAACTAGGAGGAGAGATGATCAGAGTGTAAAGTGCTAGAAGGCTCTATAGGGAGGAATAGTGGAGCCTTTGTGATGTTCCATTATTGATGAGAGGAGGAGTGTCCTGGCCAACCTTAGAACCTGAGCTCCTGAGGTTCAGGAGCTGAGGCTGGGGGTGGGGAGGTGGTAACAACTAAATGTATGGGTGCTAGAGTTGCAGGGAGAGACTTCCATTCTGATTTCTCATCGTCCAACTACCTTAATCACCTTTCTTCTCTTCCCCTTTTCTTCTTTTTTTTTTTTTTTTTTTTTTAGGAATTTGACAAGAAATATAATCCTACCTGGCACTGTATCGTGGGCCGAAATTTTGGCAGCTACGTCACACATGAGACAAAGCACTTCATCTATTTTTACTTGGGTCAAGTTGCAATCCTCCTCTTCAAGTCAGGCTAGGTGGCCGTGGTGAAGGTGTCAGTGGCGGCGGCAGCGATGGCAAGCAGGCAGCATTGCTGGGACTGTTTTGCACTGGGGCCAACATCAGGATGTCCTCTCCAACGGCTGTGCTACTGCATGGACTGTATACTCGATTTCATGTGTATGTCGCAGTAAACAAAACCAAACTTCCTTCTGTTTAGTTGCCTGGGGAAGAAGGCTGCTTTATGTTTATTTTTCAAGACTTTAATTTTTTTTTTTTTGGTTGTATTGCACTAGGAAATCTCTCCCATCCCTCCTTATTCTCTTTCTCTCCCTATATAAAAATACAAATCCCAAAAGATGAGGAGGGCTGAGGAAAGAAATAGGTCTCTGGAGGTGGAACTAAAACTGTGCAGCTGCCTCTTCCTGGTGGTGGGTACTTCTTTGAGAGGACCAGGGAGGCTGCAGGAATACAGTGTTAGAATTGGCAAGGAGAAAGGAAAGGGATAGGAAGGAGGGTGGGGGGATTGATCTAGTACCAGGGAGACTATTCCACTGAACTGTGATTTTTTTTCTGGCTTGGGGCAGAGGGTGGGGTGGGGATGGGTTCTTTAAGGGGCCCTGTGATGTGTCTGTGGTGTGTGGGAGTGGGGAGCAGACTTGTCTTGCTGTCTTTGTCAGGATCTAAGTAAGGGCTGTGTCTTTGTGGATTACCTTATTTTATTCTTGCCAGAGATCAGGAGGATGTTGTGGGTAGGATTAGCTTGAATTTCTTTTTTTCTTTATGTTCTTTCCTGTCTGCTCCCTGCGTAGCCCTCAGTTTACTCATTCCTCTGGAGTTCTCTTAGAGCAGCCTGTTAGTTGGCTGGTAAGGGAATTTCTGGTGACTGTAGTTCTTTAGTTAGGTCTTAGCAATCAAACCAAATCAATGTCTCCCTTGATTCTCGTTTGTGTATGTGTGTGTGTGTGTGTGTGTGTGTGTGTGTGTGTGTGTGTATGGGATTGGGGTAGAGGGGAGGGAGGAGGGACAGGACAGATGGAATCTCTAGGGGTGTATAAGTAGGAGGCACAGTTCTAAGTGGGCCTTTATGTTAAAAACCTCTGGGGTGTCTGTTGTGGGGTTGAAGACAGGTATCATCTAGCCCAGAGACTGCTTGCCTTATGGCTGTCTGCTCCTTGAGAAAGAAGGCTTTGGGAGGATCACCTAGGGCAAGATAGCCATACTGCCATCTTTCCTGGGGCTGGGTCTCAGTGGAGGGGGAAAGTGACTTTGTGGATGGTTGCAGCTTCTTGTGGGAGGTGGGAATGAAAGTAATAAAAGGCTGAGAGGGCTTCATTGGAACTTAAAGACTTGCAGTCATGAAGCCCCAGATATCAGGAGGTAAACTAAGGCCTGTGAGTAGGAGGAGATTCCAGGAAGGATGTAGGGAAATCTTGTATTGATGACATAGGAGTGGGGTAGGGGTGGGGTGGTCATTGCTGATCAAGCTGCTGATTCTCATGAATCATTCAAAACTCTCATGTGTAGGGTTGACACTGTGGGGGGTTGGGGAAATCCAACTCATTCTTTTTTGTTTGCAGTCAATTCTTGGGGCTAGTGGGGGGCAGACTTCCCTAAGCCCTAGTGTGCCGAGCTTTCTTTTTAATGTTGGCAAGGGAGGGTGGGAACTGGGGTGGTGCCTGAGTTCCCTATATCTCTTCAGTTTTGATATAAAATTGTTTGCTTTTAGTTTTTTTTTTTTTTAAATGAATGTCCAAATCTGTTTTCCCCTGCCCTCCCAGACTTTGTGTGGCCAGTTGGAACTGTCTGGTTTGTGTTCATCTCTCCCTCATTTCTGGAGCAGGGGCTAAAACCCTGCCACATCTCCTATGCTCTGCATCCACGCCTCTTTTGGACATTAAAGGTCGATTGATGCACCTCTGAGCTGTTTGGGTTTCTTTTTCTTTCTTTCTTTCTTTCTTTCTTTTTTTTAATGCTGGGGATCCAACCCGGGGCCTTGCATCTGCTAGGCAAGCACTCTACCACTGAGCTGCATCTCCAGCCCCTTTGTTTGGGTTTCTTTAGGGGCGGTGGGGTAGGGGTGGGGAGTGTTGACCTGTAGGCAGTGGTACCACATGGGGTAGGGCAGGGTAGAGTACCTAGAGTGTACTGGAATGAAACTGAAGAGAACACAAGCAACAAATTCTGATTGGCTTGAAGCAGGACTTATTTGTTGAGTGGGGAGAACTAGTCAGCAGCACTCACCCATAGAGGTTCCTAGTTCCTAGTTCCTAGCTGTGGGTTGGCCAAGGAAGCCACATTGTTCATCCTTGATACAATAGTTGCTGCCTTCCCGTCAGCTGTCCTGCAGCCTGCCTGAGCATAGCTGCTTAGGAATCTTTGGTTTAAGCCCAGTCCTTTAACTCCTAGGTTCCCTGAGCCTGGACACTGCCAACTTAGCTGTCCACTTAAAATGGGAAAGCTGGGGATCCTCAAAAAGAGTCTCTTGGTGGGACCAGAGTGATTCTCTGAGTTATCCCAGGTGCTCCACCTGGGGTTTCCTGCCTCAATACCTACTCACCTCAATACCTGGAGAAGTGAGTAGTGCCAAGACTTCTGAGTGCACCCACCTTTGATCCTAAGCTATCACTGTAGGCTTACTGGCGACAATCTTTTGGAGTTATTTGTGAAAACTGATGTATTTTGTACTGTTATTTATTCACTCAAAAGCATTTTCTGAGCTCTTGAACACTTGGCTGTACAATGCTGTTCACTCATGAAAATGAGGAAAGTTCCATGCTTCTTTGGAATGTGCATTCTAGTGAGTAGAACAGAATGACACATTGATAAAACTTTCTGTTAGTGATGTTATCATGGAAATACACTTTCGAATATTGGAGGTAAGTAGATTGCCTTCAGATAGAAGTTGCTTGACTGGATCCTGAGGAGAATGCTTTATCTCTGAGGCAGTGAAGTCCTAAGGGATTAAGACAAGGGATTATAAAACCCCAACTTTTGTTATTACCTTTGCTAGTATGAGTAATTTAATAGCCAGGACCTTCTGGAGGTTTCATCTGTGATGATTGGTGTCTCTAGGACCAAAACTCATCAATTTCCTGCTGTAATCAAACAGGCAAATCCATGCCATCTGTGGACAGCGTACATTTCTGCACCAGTAGATTCATGGTGCTTGTCTGGAAGGCTAATCCTACAGGGCTTCCTGGAGGAGACGCCTCCAAACCCATGGGGCCCTGCAGGGGAAATAGGCTGTGGAATTCCTGAAGAACACAGCCTGTCAGAATTGTGGCCGTGCAGAGAGAAAGTGAGAGCATCAATATTTCTACTTACTTCATTTTCCAGTTTTTTTGGGGCTTCCATTTGGCTGAACTCTACCAAAAGGCAGATGACAGGGTTGATGCAGGGAAAAGTCTGTAAGGATCAGTCTTCCTGCCAGGGAAGAGGATGGAGAATGAAACTTTAAAAAGGAGGGCAAATGGAGACTAATCAGGAGTGGGGAGGGGTTATATGTGTTGTCAGTCTCTCTCCCCTAAACACTGGTGGCCTCTACCCTAGACCTGAGGTGTGAGGTACCTTAATCCCTCACTTTCTTGAGGTCTTAAGCATGTTTTTATCTGAGGGGCCTTTTGACATCCTGTATGAAACAGTACCTTCCACCATTACCATTAATCTTGCCCATTTCATTTTGCAGTGCTGTGACTTGAACCCAAGGCCTTACACGTGCTAGACAAACACTGTGCCACTAAGCTCCATTCCCAGTCCTTTAAAAATTTTTATTTCTAGATAGGGTCTCTCTAAATTGACCTCAAATTTGTGATCCTCCTACCTCAGCCTCCCAAGTAGCTGAGATTACAGTTGTGCACCACTGTGCCTGGTTAACATTATCCACTTCAGTTCCTCATAGCACCTGCTGACCATGCTTTTGATGTATCTTATTTATTTACTTTGTCTTCTATAACTAGGATATAAGCTCCATAAGATCATTTTTTTTTATCTGCTTTTTCTTAAACCACATACCAGCACTTGTAGGAAGTACTTATATTGATTGATCAAATGAAAAGAGAAAAGTATAGGTGCAAGCCAGGGCATCATCTCCTTTGCCCTGCGGGTCTCAGCCTTTTCTAGAGACTTCTGCCCTTTGGCTTGGTCCCTCTTGTTGCCAAAGCCCTGGGTGTTTTGTGCTGCTTGGAAAGCAGTGAGAGGGTCACTCCCAAAGTGTGGTCAAGCATCAGCCCCTTGTTTGCCAGCTATGGAAGAATTAAATAGTGTGTTCATAAAATGCATTTCAGTTTATGTCACTGAGCCCTCAAGAACATCTCGTGTGAACCTTGCCCTGCAGTCATTAGCCACATTTCAGGATAAGCAAATGGGGAAAGAGCTGGGAGTGACTTGCCAAAGTGCACATAGCTGGTCCTATTTCCAGAGCTCAGGACTGTTGTGACCCAGGAGGGTTAACTGGTGTTGGATGCCAGGGTTCTTATACTCCTTAAGATTTAGGCTTAGCTCTTTGAGTCAAATTCTGAATCCTGGTTCCACTGATGTTCCCTCTTTTGGGGCCCTGCTTTAGCAAGGCTGGAGGGGAAAATCTCTCATCACTTCTCCCCTCTACCAAGGATCAAGGACCTGCTCCTCAGGCCTCATGAGAGGGATGAATCTTCTGGTTTTAGCAAACTTCCTGAATCCTGATCTACGTGAATGCTTATATCCACTCTGCTACTGTGCCAATATAAAGAGGTTCATAAGAAAAAATAAAAAACCAGGAGAACCCCGGTTTCCTGCTTGCCTTTTTTCCCTTACGTTTTTTCAAAGGTGTGCAGCATTTATGGTGAGGCAGCTAGACATTACTGTCTTGGGCTTTCTAGAGAGAGGCCAAACAAAAAATTAGTTTTGTGGGTAGAATATAGGGCGTAGGACCTGAAAACTTGGGTTTGAGTTCCAGCTCCAACACTTCCTGTTGTATGAACATGAACAAGTAGTTTGGCTTTTCTGAGCTTCCAATTCTATCATCTGTAAAATGGAGATAACACATCTTTCCCAAAAGGGTGGTTATGAGAAATAAATGATGTCATGTATATGAAGGGCTTTGAAATTGGAAAGGGATGAGGATAAGTAAAATGAAGATATTGAGCCAGGATTGGTAGCATATGCCTGTAATCCCAGTGACTTAGAGGCTGAAGCAGGAGGATTGGAAGTTTGAGGCCAACCTCAGCTATTTAGCAAGACTGTCTCAAAATAATAAAAAAGGGCTAGGGATTGTTTTAGTCTTTTTTTTTTTTTCCTGCTGTGACCAAAAATCGGGCAAGAACAATTTTAAGAAGGAAAAGTTTATTTGGTGGCTCACGGTTTCAGAGGTCTCAGTCCCTAGACAGCTGTTTTCATTCCTCAAGGCCTGGGATGAGGTGGATCCCATGGTGAAAGAGTATAGCAGAGGAAAGCAGCTTGGAACATGGCTCCAGGAAGCAGAGAGGAGAAGTGCGCTCCATTCTTTGGTGACAAAATATATGCCAAAGGCACATCCCCAAAGACCCACCACCTCCAGCCACACCTTACCTTTCAACAGTTGTCAACCAGTTAATCCCTATCACTCGATTAATGTACTGATTAGGTTAAGGCTTTCAAAATCGTATCATTTTACCTCAATCCTCTTGCATTGTCTTGTACATGAGTGTTTGGGGAACACCTCATATCTAAACCACAATAGGGATGCAGCTTAGTGGTAAAGCAACCCTGGGTTCAATCCCCAGTACCAAATAAATAAAGATATTATTTATGAGGGTTTTTAATAAAGTTTGGGGAAAGAGTAAAGGATTCTGGGAAGTCAAATACCCTAAATCTCCCCTCGAACCCAATTGGGCCAGCCGTTTCCCTTCCTGCCTAATTGTGCATGTTATAGGAAAGGGAATTAAAGACCAGACATGGAAACAAACTTACTTAAGGTTACATGAATGTTTGGACAACTGGGATGTAGAACTCAGTCTTCTGATTCCCAGGCTAGGTTCGATTCTGGTTGGAGATGGCAGAAGAGAACTATCAGTAGGTTCTGTGCTCCCTATTGAACTCTGGAGGACCCTGTCCTTGGTGGTGTTGTACAATTGAGTAGATTCTAGCATACACACCAACTTGTGTAGCCATGCCCACTATCCAGTTCCAGACATTTTTATTAGTGCTTCCCTCCCAAACAAACAAGAAATTCTGTGCCTATTGGTAGTCATTTCTCAATTCTTCTTTCCCCCTCAGCCTCTGGAAACGGTTAATCTACATTTTGTCTCTGAATTTGCTTATTATGACATTTCCATAAATAGAATCATACAATATGTGACCTTTGGTGTCTGGCTTCTTCCACTTAGCATGTTTCCAAGATTAATTTGTTGTAGCATCTATCAGTACTCCATTTTTTTCTGGCCAACTAATATTCCATTATATGGCTACAAATACATTTGGTTTATTCATCAGTTGAAGGACATTTTACGCATTATTGCCAATAATGCTGCTATGAAAACGCATGTGCACATTTTTGCATAGACATATGTTTTCATATCTCAGGGGGCATCTTTTAAATGTCAATTTACTGCGTTGGGGTTGTAGCTCAGTAGTAGAGCGCTTGCCTAGCATGTGGGAGCCACTAAGTTTGATCCTCAGCACCACATATAATTAAAATAAATAAATAAAAGTTCATTAACAACAACAACAAAGTGTCAATTTACTTTTAAAAAGTCTACACTGAAGGGCTGGGGATGTGGCTCAAGCAGTAGCGCGCTTGCCTGGCATGCCGGGGTGTTGGGTTCAATCCTCAGGACCACATAAAAATAAAAGATGTTGTGTCCACTGAAAACTAAAAAATAAATATTAAAAAAATTCTCTCTAAAAAAATAAAAATCTACACTGAGATTGGCAAATGTTTTCTATAAAGAGTCAGATAGTAAATA